AGCACACCGTATTTGTTTCCCCTACAACCTCTCACTATTAAAATTACCCTTAACTGTATTCTTAATGTCTGGAGTCAAGATCCTAGAATAAGTATTTCCTGGGGAAAGAAAGGTAGGTTTGAGCAGCAGTAAGTAAATTTGGGATATTAAAAGTATTGAAAATTTTACCAGATGTCTTAAATGTTTGAAAAATAGCTTAAATTTTTTCAGAGATTAAAACCTATTTTTTGAAGTTAGAACACTTTATTTTGCTACAAACCAATTGGAATTGATAACAACAATGGACTGTTATGGATGAAAAAATGACTGAACATGTGTGTGCATCAGGTTTCAGTTTAAACTCCATGAGACTGGAGCTGTAATTATGTCCTTTCCTTCTCTAAATATTCAGATCACAGTGTTCTCAGGCCCAGTTTAAGAATTTCCTCTCTATATACAAAGCCAGCAGGTATTCAGTACCAATGAACCAATTAAAAATGCATAATTACTTAACATAGCTGTGAAAACAAGTATACTAATGTTTGTGTTTATTATCACACAAAGTCTGGGTCTTTTTGATTTTGCCATTTAATTTTTTGGTTGTTTGCTGAGTATCTCCCCACACTGAGCCCTTCTCTTGAGCAGACCAGAGGACAGAGCTGGGGTCCCAATACGCCACTCACCTGTTCCCAGTCCTTGCATGAGCAGCAGCATCGTGCACACATTTGATTTATTAATGGCCTTTTCTGCTGAAAATCCATTTCTTCTTAAAAGGCTCCCGAATTTAAACTGGTCAGATATGTCTGCAGTGAACATGACTGCAGCAGGATGGATTTGTCCTGGGTTGTGAGTGAGCAAGGTTTAGGCCTTTACTCAGGTTAACTCGGTGAGGCTCAGAAGAACAGAAAAAATAATAATAGTGAGAAAAGCCCTGGTGTAAAGTGTTCAGAAGGAGGCTGCTGCTGATGCACTGAAGCTGTTTAAAAGAATGCAGCAGCCCTTGGCTGTGCAGGACTCAGCTGTGCTGTGTTCTCTTGCAGGGCGTGGGGGTGTGTGGGGGCAGCCAGGCCGGGCTGGGCACGGCCTCCCCCCGGCAGTACCCGCGGCAGAAAATAACACGAGTCAACCTCAGGGACTTCATCTTCTACATGGAACAGGAGCGAGAAATGAGCCATTCCCTCCTGCTCTACAGAGCTCTGCTTAAATAAAGCCAACAGTTCTACTGATTGCTCCACAGAAGCTCAACCTGCATTGAAAGCTGTCATTTTAATGTGCCTTCTATTTTTTTCAGAAGTCAATGTTCCAGTAATTTTGTTTTGTAAAATTGTCAGACACATGCAATAAATTCCCCTTTATGTAAAAAAAATATATATATAAAAACCACAAAAAATGTGCAAAAGGTTTTAAAATGTTAACTCCACAAATCAACATCAAAATCTTGCTTCATTTGGCCAGTTTAGGTAAGGCTGGTGTTGAAGTTACACAAATGCAATGGCTCACCTAAACCATCTCCTGGCCAGGCCTGGGACAGGTTCACAGGAGTGGGTCCCAGCCTTGGTGTTCACCTGAGTGTTTGCTCACGGTGCTGGGTTTTGTTTTCAGTCTACCAGCACTGTCTCACTAACCATGGTGATACCTGTTGCTGTTTTACTTAGCTGTAATGGCAATTTTTTGCACAGCCCAGAGACTAGCCACTGCACACTCCCACAAATTTTATATATTTAGGATTTTTGCTTTTACTGCACAGCTCATTTCCTGAGCCATTTGCTGAACCAAATCTTAAGTGTATGAAATCTGTGTGTGGGGTCTCAGCTGAGTTACCTTGACTTGCTTCCTCTTGTTTTCTAAATCTCGTCAACCTTTTGCGCATTTGTAGCAGCCGGTTAGTAACAAGATTCAAAGTTGGGTTTTATTTTCTAAAAAAAAAAAATGTTAATTTATTTATTGCAAAGAGTACGGTTTAACGGTGGTTTTAAAAGAGAATATTGTTCAGTAAAGATTTTAGAGTATTCTATATGGATTTTTAAAGTCGCTGTAAAGGTTTTTGGGGGCTGCTCCTGCTCCTGCAGTGGGGAGAGCAGGCGAGCTCTCCTGGACACCTCTGCCACCACGGCCTCAGCCCGGAGAGGCTCCTGAACTGGCACGTGGCTTTAAGGAGCAGCTGCAAGTACCTAAAGGTGGGGTGGATGCCTTTGAAAAGCTTTGCTGAAGCAGAATTTGGGCCCACACGGAGCCGAGCGGGGTTGGTGTGAGCCTGAGGAATGGGGATCGAGTAGGACACGAGCAGGCAGGAGCCACGAGCTGTGCTGCAGAGTTCACAGTGTTACACTCACCACGGAAGGGAGGCGTTTGCTTATTTATCTTCTCTGTTTTTACTATGTTATGCTTGCCACTTTTTTGAGGCAATATTTTTTTTGATGGGAAACCATAGCGAAAGCACAAATAGAACTATTTGTCCAATAGTTTTAAAAACAAAGGTTTTAATTATTTTTTAAGGTTTATGAAAAGCAGAAGAAAATTTATACTGCTGCTATTTAGCCAAAAGATTATTCATAAGGTATTTAAGGCCAGGAAGTGTAAAGTTATGTTTTAAATGTATTGATAATTTGTACATATTGTTTATAAAGGCCTTGTGTTTATTAGAGTTACGTTATTTTGATGATTTCTGTACATACTGGTAAATACCCCCAATTTGTGTGAAAACATACTCCCTTATTTGTACTTATTTTGTAAAGAAATAAAACAATTTACTAAAGTAACACATCGAGTGACATACAGTATTAATTTATCAAACATGAATTTCACATTGTCTTGTAGTTCTTAAGCACTGGTCAGAAACATTTTGCATTAAAATATTAACAGAATACCCACAAACAAATATTAAAACCAAATACTTCAATGTTTTGTTGTGCTGATTCTTATCCTTTTGTGAAACATCTAATAAAATTGTCAACAAACCTCGGTGCCATCAGTAGAGAGAATGGATGCACTCAGCAGTGGCTTTCTCGGGAGCGAGGAGTCCAACAAGCACAACAGAACATTCTCTTTCACTTTCTGCCTGCCACTGGAGCTGTGACAGCCTGGACACAAAGTGCTTGTGAAGCCTCGTGCTTGTCAAGCACGGGGCCAGTGCTCAGCAACAGCGAATCAGAACAGTTTTGCTCGATGGGATTAGGTGAAAAACCTAAACCAGGCTGTGCTTTGCTTCTTGGCCTTCGCCACGCAAACATGTGCTGGCTGCACACCACAGCTTCTCTGGCTTCTGTGGTGCTTTGAAACATCTTACTGATGCTGAGCAATGTTCTTCATTAGGTTATGTTGCTGTGGTTTAAGGCCAGAAGTAAATATTCAAATCAGTTTTTGCTGATATTGATGCCTAAAAATATAGGGAAATAAGTAAAAAATATATAAATGAAACTGTAATAATCTTTAAATAAGTGACCTGAAGTTACTAACTAAAAGAACATGTCCTAGCTTAACTTTTTTTTTTTTTTAAAGGCATATTTCTTCTAAGAAAGTGATTGTTTCCACATGTCTTCCTTGCCTTTGTGCTGTTTTGCAGTCAATGCTGTGATGTCATGGTTTCAACTTTCCATCTCAAGTTCACATTTAACTCGGCTGGCGCAGCCTGGAACCCTTTCCAATGCCACCTCAGCAAAGCTGCCCCAACTACGGGAGCTGCTTTATTGAGCCATAAAAAAATACAGTAAACACCAAACTGAGGGAAAACCAACCACCCAACCAACCACAAATACTTCCAACGTTCCACAGATGTGTAAAAGCACCATCCCGGTCTGCGCTCCCCGGAGCTGCTGGGGAGAGCACCAGGGGCAGCAGCAGCCCCTGGGATGGAATATCACCTTTATTCCCTGGCTGAGAGGTAAGAACTGGACACGGTGTGCTGCCAGAGGGCAGGGCAGGAGTGGATACAGGATAAAAACAAGAACCTGAATGGATTATTGAAGGATACTTTGGACTTAAAGGTATGAAAGTAATAAATAAAACACTTCTATCTTTTTGTAAGACATGGCTACATCAAGCTGAACGGAGCAAAGGGCTGGAGAAGACACAAAAATTCTCACCTCTTTCAAACATGGGAGATACAGTGAGTGTTCCACCCTATGTGCTACTTTTTGTTCATTTACTTTACAGAAATGTTTATGGCATGAAGTACTGTATAAGAAATGTGCATACACAAATACATGACAATTATACGTTAAGTTCTTTACAATATTAAATGTATAATATACAATTCTACAGATATCTTACATACAAAGGTGAATGTTGTGCCATATATTCAAATATGGCAATGCCTAGCAACTTTAGAATGTTGTACAAGTATAAAACCACAAAATAAAATAACTTTACAACTCTTAAAGTAGACAGATTTGCTCAACTGTTCTGCTAAGGTAGCAGGCCAAGCGGCCAGGATTGCCATTAGAGATTTCCGAGTCGGGTGACCAAGGTGAGGAAACCTTGCAGAGGTCTGATTTTCCATGGACAGGTATCCAGCCCTTTTCCAAAAATTAGACCCCTGCCTAGATTTTACCTTGGATAGTCAGTACAGGTCACTGCTTTTGAAAATATTAAACACGACTTTTAAATTTTGCCTGATTGCAATCAATTTGCGTTAAGAACTGTTGACCACTTAATACTCTGTCCCTTGTTCCATATGGCCATATTAATGCATCTAAAAAGAGTTTAATTAAAATTCAGCATCTACAACAGTATTCTATAAATTAATGTGGGAGAAACTAAACTGTGATTACCATGTGAATTAGTGATTGAGGACCCAATCATGCTAAACAGCAATAAACAGGATTTAGCAGAATGCTATTTATAACCTTGCACCTGCAAACACGGTGCTGTCTCCTGAGTTAGAAAGCCCTGTGAGTCAGTGCCAAGTCCTGACAGAAGCAGGACCCTCCTGCAGACAGACCCCTGACTTTGTTACAGAGAAAGTTACACAGATAGAGGGCAGCTACAGAATTCAAATTTTAATAATAATTTAAAATAATCAATTTAAACTGAAGGTGGCCTGCTTTCATCTGGCAATGGCAATACAGGGTTTTAACAACTCTTTGCAAGAATTCCAGGCCCACAAAGAGTAGGCTTGTCCAAAATTCTTAAAGTTTCCTCCTAAATGTGGGCTCCTAAGATGGCTGGTACATGATTAAGAAGAGGTGGCTTGCCTGGTAGAACCACGCTTCTTTGATGATGCAGAACTTAACAGATGTTGTGTCAAAACAAGATTGGCTTTAAAAGAGCTACAGCTCCATGTGGGGTGTGTGACCCTCGTGTGATGGTGGATGGCATTTTATTTTGTGCTTCCAGATCCCTATTGTTGCAAATATTGCCATAAGTGGGCCTGTCTAATTTACAGTCACTTGTTTGGTTTGGTTTGGTTTGGTTTGGGGAGGGGGTTAAGTACTGAGCACCAGTGACTACGAATCAGTCCTTTTCTTGTTCTGGATCCTGTTCACAGAGAGAGACCTCAGTTGGAAATGTAGTATAAAAATAAGCCATTTGCTCATGTGGGTGAGTACAATCACCAGGTGAGCGTGGTGCTGGGGTGTGAAGCACGTCTGATATGGAGGAGGGCCAGCAGTCAGGGAAGGGTCTCAGTGCAGGTTTTGGGGTTCTTCCTCCCGCAGACGCGCCCGCAGCGCAGCTCTGGGGTGTCCCTGGGCTCCTGCTGGTCGGTTCCACTGCTTCCATGGCTCTTGCTGCAGAAGTCCAGTCCAGGGCCAGGGTTTCCCAAGCTTTGCCTGTTCCACACCACTGCTGGTCAGCCCAGAGCACATCCCAGCCCTGCCGCGCCGAGCGTGCCCAGGAGCTCCACCGTGAGCAGACAGCTGATTTCCAAATGCATTCCATGGCTGGCTACGTGACAGGTAGTTTCAGAATACCACTAATTGGCAACATAAAGTCAAAATCTGTTTGCTAATACTGTTTTGCAAATCCTTAGTGTTTCACATCAGGGACTATTAAACACTTCTACGGTTACAAAGGGGGACAGGGAGGGTCTAGTCCAGGGGCTCCTGTTTTATTCTGATTGTTGGGGTGGGCTGTGGTCGTCTGTCCTCGCGACACAGCACGTACTCGCTGAACTGGGAGGAATCCACCCCACCACCACAGGAAGCTGCCACGTTAAATCCCTTCTGAAATAATCTTTCCAGCACCTGCAATGTGGAGGGAAAAAAAAAATCAGATTAATATTTAGCAAATTTTAGTGACAAAAGCATTCAGAAGCACCAGGTCTAAATAACAGATTTAGTCTTTCACGTCCTTGTTGAATGAATATTACTCAGTTATAATTCTATAACTTATTGTTAAATGACTATTCTGTGATTAAAGTCTCGCTCTCAGCAAACCTCTGTAGAAAACAAAAATTAATCAAAGAAATAAGCACTCTGCAGAGCAGTTTAGTACATTATATAGTAAAATACTGGACTGTGGTGATGCTCTCACTGCTTACAGAAAGCAACATCAGGTTTGAGTTCTAATAAAAAGTGCCAATTATTCATCAGTAATGTGAAGAGTCAGAGAAAAAGGGGGGCTGAGAAGCTCTTCCTTGGCAGATAAAAATGTCTTGGGGGTTCAATGACACATCCACCAGACCTTTGTGGCAATCCCAGCTGTTTGCCCTCACTGGAAGGGAGCAAAGCACAGCAGGGACAGGATGCAGAGGCAGGACATGGACAACAGGGAAATGTTCTGGCCCAAGAAAGAGGTTAATCTGTACTGCCCAAATATGTATTTTCTCTTTATCCTCCTAAAGAAAAGTTGGTGCAGTTTGGATGCACGAATTTAAGGAACCCAGAGGCGACTTTAATTTCTGTGACTGTCATGCAGCACATTTCCCCAGGATATACTGATCCTGGCACTGGCATCATTGATTTCTGGTTCCCCAGCAGAGCAGGACACAGCAGGCTTTTCCCAGAGTCAGGTGAGGGCAGTGCCAGACCCACCCTGGGCAGATCACAGTGCAGGACCCACTCAGGCTCTCCTGAGTCCTGGGCAGCAGCCTGGAAAAATGGCTGCAGTGTTTTTCTCTACTGATAAATGCCATCAAGGAGCAGCAGCCTGCACTGCTCTCCAAGACCTCACCCAAAGTGTGGCTCCCACTGGAGGGACAGGGAAGTGACCCCGTGGCTTACTAAACCCAAGGATCCCGGTCACAGCAGCACCAGCCCCGTGTGACACCTCTCTGCACCCACAGCAACCTGGACCAAGCCCTTTAGGAACTTGTTCTTCATCCTAGAGAAGTGTCTAAGCAACACATGCACCTCCAGACAGAGTCAACCCCTGCTTTCCTGGACTTAGGTTCTAGAAGAGTTTGGTCTGTGCTCAGTTTGAGAGTGGGCTCGTCAGTGCTTGCACCAGAGCACTGCCCTTGCCCTCCCACAGAGCCACCAGAGGCCACCGTGCACTTCTCAGTGCACATTTCTTCTGAGTGTTGGCTTTGCTCTTTGCAGAAACGTGATTTTGGAAGGACATCTGTGTCCAAGGTGGTGTCATAGTGCAATGCAAACCATGGCAGCAGCATTTGCTGGCTTTAATCCGTTCGATCCCTCCTTCGGGGCTGCCCGTGTTCTCCATCTGCATTTAATCCTGGCTTTGGCTTTTCAGGACTAACTAAAACCTTTTACTCCTTCTACCCTGGCTCTCAGGATGGGCAAAGAGGCTGCTCCAGCAGAGCTTTGCCTAAGTCATGCCGAGTCTGATGAAAATCAACTTGCCTGAGGAGCTCTGCCTGGCCCTGGGACACAGGGACTTAACATTCTCAGAAAGTCACATCTCCCAAACCTCCCTGACTTTTGCCCTGATTTTTACATACTCTACACTGCAAGACAGTAGTAGAACTGAAAGATCAAAGAAGCACGCCAGAGTATGGAAGAAAAATGAAGTGGGAGAGAAGAAAAGAAGGGGCAGGAGAGTGGGTTAATAAAACACATTTAAGATAGAGAAAGCTTTCATCCCTCTTACTCACCCAGGCTGTAGTGGCCTGTAGGACAGAAATGGGGTGCAGACACCAACAGTGTTCCTCCTCAGAGAGGAGGGCAGGAGGAGTCTGAGACAGAAGGAGGAATAAGACTTCAGCAGACTGCTGTTTCTCAGGCTGGAATATATTCTGCCTGTTTTATGATCACTGCTCCCAGCCCTGACAGGATGAAGATGAGACAACCCAGCCATGGGAAAGGAGGCTTTTCCCACTGAACTGGATAGTGGAACAGAGGATTGACAGGTAAGCTTTCTGAGAGAGATGGGACTTCAAAATCCTTACTAAAAAGTTTTTTAGATCAATTTGCTTCTAAGACAAAACAAGCAGGGGGGTGCCCTTGGCTTGCCTCAGACCAAAGCTATGGAAAGCTGGATGTTAACACAGGATTCTTTTTCACTGAGCCTCTCTCTGCAAACAGGCAGCCCAGATAGGCAGCACACCTCAGAGCGCCAAACAAAGCCATTCATTTTTGCTCAGAACGTGCTGGAAGGACCAGACTGCAGGCTATAATCTGGTGTAAAAAACCTTGGGATCATCAATTTTCTCAGCAAGAAATGGAACAGGCCAAATCCTGTAAACAATGCTGAGGATGTTTAAATACTGCAGTTTTAAGTGTCCCTGGGATGAGGCTGAGCTCGGGTCTCGGGAGAAAGGCTCCTTCCATGAGTCTCCTTGCATGAGACTGAGCAGCATTTTCAACATGGACAGGTTCAGATTCCATTTAGAGAATTTGACTCTATGCACATTATTTCTTCTGAAGGTAAGATACAGACAGGGGGAAAGCAGTGACCATCTCTGCTACTTTGCTGCAAATCTCCAAAGAGAATATGCCAAAAACTGAGTATCAGCTGTGACTCTCCCACGTGCAGGGACACATGCACATTATTAAATAGAGGATTTGTGCTCGGATTTAATATATGCTTCCAATATTCTTCCAATATTCCAAGCACATCTGATTTGGTTGGAAGGTTTTCCAAATGGAAACCTGATCCTTTCACTTAGTGCATTTCATTTAAATTTTGCAGAATATTAACAAATACATTCTTAATTATGAAGACCTAATGTTCAACATTCACAAGTGTAACAGAATTTTCTCTAAGTTAAATTCAGGATTCCCACCAGAACCTATTGCAAGGAGCTGAAAAAACCTCCACCTACATGCAATTACAAATGGGTGTAAAATTAAGAGTTAATGTAATTTTTTTGCCTATTAGGTGTTGATGTTGTTTTTATATGCACAGTTCTTGATACAAAACATGTAATGAAAATATTTTTCAAATATAGAAGAAAATGTAGAAGCATTGCAATTGTGCTACCAAATACACTGAGCAGACCCCAGGGAGACAGAAGTAATGTATCACCTCAGCAAACAGCAGACAGGCTTCCTGTGCTGCTCTTCGGGATTCTTTGCAAGCAATTCTGCTCTTCCCATCACTACCCTCTCCCTTAAGTCTGTGCATTTGCCTCACTGTACTTCCAAGTTTTCACTTAATATTGTTTTGCCAAGAAAATCCTTGGAGGGGGAAGAGCAGTGCCCATGTGCTGACCAGAGTTCATCAGAGCCAATGCCAATTAGCTGCTGATTTCATCAGCCTTTGATCTCAGAAATGCATCATTTTCCAGAAAGTGTTTGAAAACACTTTCTATTAATTATATAGTAAAATGATGTAATTTAGTAAAATGATGTAATTTAAGAGCATTACTTACACTGTAGACTCTTTGACAGAAATTTAATTTTTTCCACAACACGAACTTGCAAAGAGACCCTTTGATTCTGTCTGAATTTTGACTGAATTCAAAACACATTCAAATCATAACAGTAATTAGTGTTCAGCTTTTACTACACATGTAGCACATGTACCCTGGGAGTTTCAGCACGGGGTAAAGGAGAGCCAAGTGGGCACCCAGAGCTCTGCCAGGCTGTGCTGAGCTGGTCAGTGGCTCAGTGACCCTTTCTGCTTTCAGTTCCTCCAGCTCCTTGTGTGATCTAACAGGGTCCCATGGACAGCATGGCTGGGACACAAATGTTCTTCCTGAGCTGCACTGCTCCCTCTCCTCCCAGCACAGCCTGAGACACCTCCCTGTCCCCAGAGCTGCTTCTGACCACCCCCAGCCCACCCTAAACCCTGCGAAATCCACCCCAAACCGTGCCAAACCCACCCCAAATCCACCCCAAACCATGCCAAACCCACCCCAAATCCACCCCAAACCCTGCCAAATCCACCCCAAACCCTGCCAAACCCACCCCAAATCCACCCCAAACCCTGCCAAACCCACCCCTAATCCACCCCAAACCCTGCCAAACCCACCCCAAACCCACCCCCCCAAACCTTGCCAAGTGTGAAATTGCTGAGGACTGTGCAGAATTAACCACAGCCTGGTGAAGTTCAACCAACACCTCTTGGGAGTCTGGATCCAGAAGGCAGCGAGGTGCTGGGTTTGGGCTGGTTTCAGGTGAGTGCACTGGGATCACTCCTGACTCCACCCAGCTTTACAAACCCAGGTGACTGCAGCTCTCCTGAAGATGTCCCCTGGCAGCCTGGGGGACACAGGGTGCCTGAGCCTGTGCAACACCCACACAGGCACAGGAGCTCTGGGTTCTTGTCCTCCCCAGGCAGCCCAGCCCACGGACCAGCTCTGCTGTGGGTTTTTGCCCACAGGGGACTTTGTCAAGGCAGCCGTGGCATTTCCCACAGCCCTTCTGCAGAGGATGGGAACTTGGGAAATGCTCCCAAATGCTCTAGGTTGATTTCCCTTCCCATTACAGGAGCATTTGCAGCATGTTCCAAAGGAACACACAGCAAACCAGGAGCTCTGTCTTGCCTGAGTTAATGAAAGCCCAAGGAAGGGCACCATGGCCTGGCTGCTCCCCACAGCCCCAGGACAGGAACAGCAGCAGAGCTCTGGCTGCAGCGCTGGGGATCCCTGAGAAATGGCACTGCTTGCCCAAACACACACCACCTATTTATTCCTGCTGCCATCCACTTATCTGTCCAGTTATCTTCTTTTGTTTCATATGTTTAATTTTAAACCTAATGTCAAAACTCTGAGCATAAAATGAAATACATTTTTGTTTAAAATACTCTGGGCAATTTTTATAGAACATCCTTTTGAAAAAAAAAAAAAAGTGCAGAGATCAATTTTTTTAAGTCCATCCCGCAGGCACCATCATTTAATTATGAGTGAGACATAAATTATGCATTTACACATTGTTGCATTTTCTATAAAATGGTGTGGAGATTTTTTTTGTAGTTTTTGGAACTCTCTCTTTCTTCCTAGAGGCACTTTGGAGGAAAAAAAAAAAACTGCCAAAGGCTATACATTGATGAAAAAAATTAGCATTTATCAGTATAACACCATTATGAGGCCAGCATGGCACTAACATACACAAAATCTAAATGTATTTTTCTGCTTAGACTTAGGAAAACCTGAAAGACTGTGATCTCACCAGGCAGAAAAATGTTTCCTTGCAGAATAAGCACTGAAAGTAATTGGGCAGAAGCAAATAATTTGCATATAATTGAATAAGACAGAGTAAAAAAGCACCCCACAATGGCTGAGGCCGTTCATTACCTGCACTGAGTTCAACCGGCAGTATCCATTCAAGGGAAACCTGATAACGTGGGTGGGGTCCTGGTTCCAGCCCGCGTTCACAGAGTTGCACATGACATCCCCGGTCTCTGGGAAGATCTCCTCTATCAAAGCCTTCTCCCCACTCAATGCAATTCTTTCCCCCAGATCTGGAGTCACTCTCACAACCAAGCAGTCACAAGGCTGGAAATGTTTCCTTTGTTCTTTCTCTTGTTTCCATCGCTCAAGTTCCTTAATCATTGGCTGCAGCTGGTAATACTTTGCTTCTTCATATAAAAGATTAAAGTCCTGGGAAAAAAAAAAAAAAAAAGAGAGAGAGAAGGAGAGAGAGAAACTAGAAATGCTTATAGTTCTCTTTTAAAAATGAGTATTGTTCCTGTTTGACCTACTTAGGCTTATGTACTGTCAGCAAGAGAGCAAAGGCAACAGGTACCCACGTACTCACACCTCCACAGAAAACCACACCGTGCTGGTGTTGAATCTCTCTGAGCTGACTGAGAAGTTCCCATTGCACTGAATTATCCTTTCATTTATTATCCCACAAGCTCAATGCCAGAAGGCTTTACTCTTGGATTAAGAAATCAAAATAGCTGGTTGCAATAAACAAAGCTTCCTGATGTAAGAGAAGATGTTCCAAGCCCTAATCTCCACTCGTGGCCTCGGCTACTTCTGATCTCCCAGCAGATCTCAGGCTTTGCTGTCGGCTCTCACACATGTGAGGAGATGGAGATGTCAGTTCAGCTTCACTTCTCACCTGTCTTTGCTGAGGCTGAAATTCAGCTCCAGCAGCTGAGCTGCTGCCTGCAGTTGATGACTGTGTTCACGTATTTAAAGTGTGCTTTGGAGCCTGGTGAATTGCATGGAGGCAGTGACCATCCTGCTGGCTGTGAGCTCAGCTGGGCACAGCTCTTCCCTGCCATTTGTCCATCACTTCACTTGGGCTTTGGGCAATCCAAATCCCCAGTTTCATTCAATTCCCAGTTCAGTGATTGTTTCATCAGATTCTGACAGATCTTCCCACCTCAGCTGAGGTATGTGAGAACATGTGGAGGCAAAGGGTGTGAGCATCCCCTGAGCCCAGCAGGTCCAGGGGGAGGAGAGGGAGCAGCCCTTGTGGGCACTTTGCTCCCCCCAGCCTCCTGCAGCCTCCCAGGGAAGGGCAGACACGAGAGCTCAGCACCAGCTCCTCCCTGCAAAGCCAGGGTTTGCTCTCCTGCCTCTTGCACCTCTTCACACGTGCAAATGCTGCACCACAGGTGCTTTTTGTGGGGTGTGCTGGAGGTCAACACCTGGGACAAAGGCCGGCTCTACACCAGTGAAACGAAAAATAAAATGAAATTAAATGAAAAGAAAAATCAAGACTGAAATGACTGAAATCATTTGGACTGGAAAGAATGATATGTCAAGAAACAATCAAGAAATGGGCACCAAAATTACATGAAAAATAAGGGGTGTGCTGCTGCCCTGGGACTCGGGGAGGAGGGGGAATCAAAGGCCAATGAACATGCAGCACAAAAAGGTGAGACTCTTCATAGTGGTTTGGAATTAACCTGTAAAATCTCCTGCTGCAGGGTACCACTGAACCAAAGCAGTTAGCTCTGCACAAATTTGGCACCACAGACCCACCGGTAGTGGAGGTGCTCCTTCACCCCAGGGCTGCCTGCAGCCTGGAGACGAATGAATATTCACAGTGACAGGGCAAGGTGATCGACTTACAAAAGGGACATCCAATCCTTTACATCTCTTTGATGTCTGCTAAGGCTGGGACAATGTGCACACGGCTAAGGGAGAAAAAAGGACTGGAGGATAAGAGGAGCAGAGAGGAAGAGAGATGAGAGCAAGTGGGAAGAAACGAGGGCAACAAACACTCTCACGGGACAGCTTGAAGATGGAAAACAACAGAAGATTAAAGAAATCATGCAGAGAGCATGCTGCAAACAACCAACAGCCGTGTTGGGAACAGGCAAAGAGCTGAGGAGGCTGCCTGCACCACCTGGTCTCAGGTAAGACAACATCAGCCCCAAAGCCTCGTCCTCTGATGGGAGGCATTCTCACCCTGTCCCAGAACCAGCACTCTCTGCTGAACCATTACTGCTCTCCTCTGTCCATCTGTGATGCTCCCTGGCTACTGAACAGGGGTTCAGTTTAAACCTACAGGGATTAGTGGCCTAAATTTAAAAAAAAAAAAATCAGAAATCTCTGTGCAGGACACTGAATCAGCACAGTCTCCCACCTATCTGTGCTCACTACAGAGGGGTGTGCAGTGGCCTGCCAAATGTTCACTTGGCATCTGCTGGTGCCATGGATTGCTTTGTCAAGCAAGGAAACATGCAATGCTAAGGAAAAATATAATGGTGTGGAGTGAACAGGAGCAGCCAGTCCTTTCTGAAGGCAACAGAAAGTCATCTGCTGTTTTCAGCAGGTCCTGAAAAACCAGTTATAGAGTATGTGGGTTCACAGACACTACAAAATACGGTATTATTTGTAAAATCAATCAAGTGAACGTGTGCTAAGAAAATGCAACAGCAAAACCTGGAAGAGATGGTAGAGTGCCAGAAAAAGCAGTCCTTCATTTCTGAGAGCAGAGAATGGTACAGTGCTCCTGAGGCTGGATGCAAAGCCCATTTCATTACAGAGTCTTTGACTGCCTTCACTGGCTGAGGACTAGCCTGACAGCATCCTGACAGGACTTCAATGGTCCTGCATCCTGGGGCCAGAACAGCAATGCCATCAACCCAGCAAAACCCAGATCACACCAGCCCTACTTCTCCAACAGCCAACTCAGCCCACCCCATCAACCGCAGCTTTTTAGTGACTCTTGCTAGCTGTCGTTGCCCTGAAATGAACAGGATAAATTTTACATTCTGATACCATTTTGTGAGAAGAAAACCCGCTTTCAAATGGAACAGCTCTTCCCATTGCTGTTCCCAGAATGACACACTTGAGGTGGCTGTGTGGAAATCAGGAGCATCACATGCTCTGGGGGACAAGGTGGGCACCTGCCACAACAGCCTGGTGAGCCAGAGTGTTGGGTCAGTCTCTAGAGTCTCATGCCTGTGTCTATCCCACACTTTTTTTGGGCTGAGCACAAATATGGAAAGGGTTGTGCACCTGAAGAAGGGCCCTGTGACAGACCCTGGGGACTGAGGTGATGTCCGGGCATCAGGGACTGTCAGGCACTGCCAACAGAGGGAATTTGTTGTATAATAATAGTAATAAGTGGAGGAAATAAAGAAGTGTCTCCTGTAGGCAAGAGAAATTCCCTGCTGTCCACCAGAGACAGTGCTGGGAGGGGACACCTCGTGTGACCCCACTCCACTGCTGCCCACAGCCACCAGCAGCAAAGGCTGCCCTGCCCATGGGACATTTGGCCTTTCTGCAGGGAGGGACTGGGGCATCGTGAGGGAATCTGACAGTCTGTTTAGGGAAGGAAGAGGATTTCACAAAGCCAGGAATACAGAATGAGTGGCTCACAGCACAGGGGTTCTCTAAATCCTGTGCTTGGGCAGAGTCATGGGCTCCACACAGCAAGCCCACAGTCTTTTCCTTCAGGTTTTATACACTGTTCAGAATTCTGTCTGTGACCAGACTGGGAGAGCCCAGCTCTGGACTATCTGTACTGCATGCTTAGGATGCCCAGGTAATACTGGCATAGGTATTTCCAACCCTGCACTGTGGATAACAAATCCTACCCTGAAGATTTACTGATGTTTAATATGAAATGTAAGGTAGAATAATTAAACCCACAAAAGCCCTCACCAGGGAGGTGCCACAGGAGCTGCATGAAAACATTTCCATGCTATAATTTTTGTTAAGTCACCTAACATGAACCTTCCTGGCCCCATCCAGGAGAGGCACACCTCACTGCAACAGGTTCAGTGAACAGGAGGTTCACTGAAACTCAGAGCACAGCTCCACACCAGCCCTGATCCCTGCACATGGACACTCGCAGCCTGGCTCTCTCAGAGGCTCCAGCCTGCTGGCAGAGCAGTGCTGCTGAGCAGCAGGCAGCATTCCACTGCAGATATTGTACAATACCCAGCTCCTTGTCCTGCAGGACTCAGGCATTATTTCTCTGTGTTCCCAGCTCCCTAAAAGCAGTACTAGAACCAAGCACAGACAGTGGAGCTGCTTCTGTTTGGCCTAAGAAAACATTTTACTGCAAAGGTGACTCCCAGCACCAGTGGCAGTCACAAGCAGGGTGTTCTTTGATAGACTGAAAGGGGAGACAGACAGCACAGCCTTCAATTTTTCTGTAAATTACCACAAAAGGCCTTTAGAGCTAGCATGAGCCTTTGACTTCCTGTGGCTGTTGCAGGAACTAGTGGGGAAGGTCTGCCAGGTCACTTGAAAAAAGGAGCAGACAGGCAGGTGGGATTCACACAGCCCTTCTCCAGCCACAGCCTCCGGCCCACGTTTAGATCTCATGGGAAACACAAACAGATCTTTCAAAGATGCAGATTTCACAAAATAATTTTCTGCTTTTTGTTTAGTAAGAAAGCATTTTTGTGGTGGATTTCAAGTGGGCTAAATTCTGCAGTCACCTCTGACAAGGGTGACAAGGGTGACATCTTCCTGAGGAGGAGATGTGAGGTGTGACCTGCAGAGCTGCTGTGCCCATGTCAGTGCCAATGGGCTGGTACAGATCTGCTACCCTGGCAGAGACTCAGACCATGTGTCCCACAGACCTGATGCTGTTCTCTCAGTACCAAAGACATCCTTTATTTTTGTACCTAATGTTGACTCCTGAACAGGCTGAAATGGCTCTTTCTGTCCATTTTTCACTTGTTATTCTTTATTACATGAAATAACAAACTGTCATCTTAACTCAATGTTTCTTTTTCATTTTTAGTGCAGTGAACATCTGACTCCTGGCTATAAAAGAAAGTTGCTCACTTCTATGATGACAACTGCACCGTTTCCTGAGGTTTGAGAAGACTTTAGATGCAAACACACAGATTTTGTAACTGTATTAATTAATTAGAGTGGTAGCCTTGTCATTCTGGTGTTACAGGTGCTCAGGAATCCACATAAACTCAGCTGTCCTGTGCCTTGTGCTCCTCCCCTCTCTGGGAGGGAGTAACAATATACTCATTGCCTATGTCTGTTTGTGTTTGATGCTCTCTGAGCAGGGAGTGAGTCCCACACAAAAGCCTGGTTCTGTGTGCAGTTGGGCACTGACAGTGAAGGGGACATGTGCTGCTCCTGATGTCCTGGGGAAGCCACTCTGAGGATGGGGGAGATGAAGGAAGGAGTGTCTGGGCACCAGAGGAGGAGCAGCTCCTGGGGCAGGCACCCCTGCCCAGCAGTGTGGCAGAGCTGGGGTGCCCTGGCTCTGCTGGAGGCCCAGGGATGCTCAGGTGTGGTGTCCATGCACAGGACACTGAAGCAGAGCAGGCAGAGGGAGCTGGAAGCAGCTCCAGGCCCGGCACCATCACCAGCTTGGCAAACACTCACACTCACTCCTCAGCACACTTCATGTGCCTTAAAATCCCCCAAACCCAGGGAAATTACAGGAATCTTAAGACTGCTGCTTTCAGCAGGAAGACCAGGGAGTCACTTTCAAGTTCTGACTTAGTAGTAGCTGCAAGTGTAATTAATATTCACTGTAAACACACCACTCAGACTTGATAATAAAGAATCACTAGCCTCGGAACACACACAGCACTTCCTCTGCATTTCAGTGTTAACTCAGTCTGAAAACAACACTGAAATAGCAAACACAATAATGCTGGTGTGGTACTAACATTCCAAACTTTCCAAAATAACCATCTGAGCAGCAATTCAAGTTGAAAAGCAACTTGGCTAAACCTTGAGGCTAATAAACTGCTTGATTAAATTAAGGGGTAAAAACTAATAAATATTCAAAACACTTGATAATGCTTTGTTTGACATAAAGAACATTTAATGCAAGTCTCACTGGAAAAGCTGTCAGGTTTTATACCTTAAATAGAGTTTTGCATTTAGAAACACCGAGTGATTCCATTTGCTGCCTTTGATTATTGTCTTCTGTCACTTTAATCATGCTGGCAAAATTACACTATTTCTGTGAAGTTAAATCCGTTTACAGTGCAGTTTTAATACAGCTTTACAGCGCATTCTTCTATGCATTTTGATTTAGTTACTCCCTACCTAGCAATGCTTTGCTTTGTTCTTGAGCCCTCATTAGCCTGGGGTTTGCTCTAAAGCTCTCCCAGGGAGGAACTAAATAAAAAGCAGTGAACCCTGTGCAAAGGGATGGTCTGGAGCAGCGGCCTGAGCCGGGCACAGCGCCGGCTCCCCGAGCCTCTCCAGCCCTGCCAGGGCTCACTGCGCAGACACGTCCTTGGCACCCACGGGCACTCTCCCCTCCAGGCCCCAGCCAAATCCTGCTGGTGCTGTCACTGAGCACCTCTGAAATCTGGATGAGGCCAGGATCAGCTCAAATCACCTCTCTCTTCTCTCCCACCCTCTCCTCTCACACCTTGTCCCACTGGATTGTCCAAAACACTGCTGCTGAGGCATCTCTCCTGCACCTCTCCCACTTCTCCATCCATGCCCCTTCCTTGATCCATCTTAGGACCCTGGGTTTGGTCTTTAGCTTCTCTACTACACACAGGTTTTCTCTCATTTCTCTGCAGAGCTTTCTCCCACCCAGCCCATCACCAGGAACAGCAGTGCTCAGGACAGCCTTTCTGGGCTGGAGCTCAAACCACCCAGGACTGCCAAAACCTGCCCCTGCCCTGGGCCAAGGCGAGCTGCAGACCCTCCCACCGTGGGGTCAGACATCACTGTCCTCCTAACTCAGGAGAGAATGGCTGAGTTTGCAGCACAAGGACCAGCTCTACTCCAAAGAGCCGCCACCACCACAGCTCTGGGCTCAGTCACGACTGACCAAGCGATCTTGTGGCCCAGCCAGTAGGACAAAGTGAAATGGCATTTCAGAGAAAGCAGGAGCTTTCCTCCTAGCAATGCTCTGCATCCTCTAAATGAGCAGATCCCCATTTGCCATCCCCATTTATTCATCGTTTCATCCTGGAAAAAGTGCTTTTGTTGAATCTTGTCATCTACAGTTTGGACACTTTTGTCTTCTAGTTTTCATTCATAAGGGTGACAATGTTGGAAGTGCAATGTTGTTGCAAATAAACAACGTTAAAAGGAGAACCTTTAAACAACCAGGACCTCCAGAGAAACACCCAGCACCATGACTCCATACAAAACGTGTCCTGCTCCTTAAAAAGCCCTCAGTCAATTCCATCTCCCAAAAATATTTTTACATTGACTGTGAGCAGATTACTTCCTGAAGTCAAAGTATCTGCACTGGCTATGTCTAACACAAATCCTCATGGGCTTTTTTAAGGGTTTCATTTTTATACCAACAAGAAAAAGATTTACACAGTTCAAGTCCTCTTCATATCAAATTTAAAACATTTCTTTCAGATGCTGGGCCTTAAACCCTGCTAAGTGCAAGTTGCTGATGTTGCTTCTTAATTGTTGATATACCCTGATAAAGAAGCTAAAAATGTGAGAAAATACAATTAGTTTAGAAAAACTGATTTAGCCATAAGCTTCATCGTTTAACTTTTCTATGTATCCATGACAACCATTGGTCCATTTATTAAATAATAGCATCCCTGGTGTAATACACAAGCACTAAAAATCCTAACAAATAAACAGCAACATTTAGTTAGGTGTGTTTAGGTCAAGCACACAAACCAACCTGCACCAAAACAAATGACAGAATGGCAGGAAAAACTGGATTGCACACTATAGCTTTCCTTACCTTAAAGTCATCTGGGAGCAGTAGCTTAGATGTCCTTAGGAAGCTTAATATGTATCTGAAAATTTCCCCATCTCGATCAATGAAATAATGTTGTTTTAAACTGTCCAAGACAATAGGCTCTGTGCCATTAAACAGACGACTTATTCTGGAAAAAAAGAGAGAAAAAGAAATGGGCAGAAGAGACAAACTCTCATTGCAGCCTTAAGAACAACCAATTTAGGGGCATCAATGCAGTGTGCAGAAGGTAATGCAGGATGGGAACTTGGTGACAAACACACGTCTGAGGGCAGGTGCCCTGGTGGCAGGCCACGGTCCCACCAGGAGAGCGCCCTGGAGTGCTCCCCCAGGACTGGCAGAGTGGTTTTGGTGAGAACACGAGTCCCTGACTGTGGAACATCCCTGTCCACCACGTCCTGCCAGTGGAACCAAGTGGTTACTTCAGCTCCTGGCCACGAGCGTGGCTGTCATTTGATCAAACACCATGCAAGCCTTTCTGTGCTGCAGGAGAGGCTGCCCACGCACCGAGAGGGGACCTGGCAGTGTCCATCCAGTGCAGAATGTTTTGGAAAAACACAAACCAATGGCCCATGCAGCCCCTACAGCACAGCCTGCGGGACCACAGTGTCACCACCAGCAGTCCTGGGGATGTGCCTGGCAGGGGGAGAGCACCATGGCAAATCTTTTATGAGGAAAAGAACGGGAGCAAGACCTGTGAGACCGGGGCATCAGCTGATTAGGGGACCAAAGGACCACATCAGCTACAGCACTCCAGGTTTTTCCAGTCCCAAGGAGCCTGCTCCACAGAGAGCAAACCAGGCATCTGCCTGGCTGCTGCTCCTCCGGCCTCTCCCTTCCAAATGCCTGGCTTCTCTCACAAGGCTTTGTCTTCCCATGAGAAATAACCCAGCTGAATATATGTTCTTGAAAGGGAAAACGCAGGAGACAGACAGCAACGACCTATTAAGTAATTGAGTCCATCTCTCTGACAGTGCAGCATTGTTCCCAACTGCAGAGTGTCTCATCTTTCAAAGTCGAGTCTTAAATAATCCTGCCAGTGAGGGCTCCTCCATTTCCCAGAGAGGCCATCCCACAGCTGGCTGCATTTCGCTATTGAGCCGCCCCTTCAAATCGCCCATGAAATCCCCCCTGTGCCTGGCTGAGACCAGGGCAAGGCTCTCCCCTTCCCTGGAACACAAGCTCATCAAGCCTTGCTGCAGGCAATGTCCAGCACTGCTGGCCAGCCACAGCCTTGCTGCCTCCCTCCTCCCAGCACCAGCGGGCCCAGCAGCGTGGGAGCATCTGGAAGTGATCCCAGTGCCCATCCTGGGAAGGGGCAGGTTTGCTGCCCCACTGCCCCACTGGGGCTCCTGGCTGTGCCCTGGGCCCAGGCCCACAGCTGCACCTTGCTCTGATCTCCTAACTTCCTAATATAGTTGTAAGTTTATTAATGTGCCGTTTATATCTAAATAAAATGTGGAAATATTAAATAAAACTGGACTTAGTAAGTCTCCACAGAATTTTGCTAAAAAACCTTTCTGCCCTCTTAATTAAGGAAGCTCCAGGTTTTACTGCCTGCTCTCATGCCCATGCCAGCACACAGCTCATCTGAGTTACTCGTGAGAATAACCAAGTGCTCTCCTAAACCCTAATTATAACACTTACTGTTTTCTCCAACCTCCAGCGTTCCTACAGAATCAGAGAATACCATCCAGTTCACCTTGCAGCGTTTCATTTATATAATCACAAGGTTCAGTAAGACTTCTGTAATTCACTGTCTTCTTTTTTGTTGCTATTTTAGGGCCATTTGCCCAAGACAGTTAAAGATACTGCTGTGTACAGCGTTCCATTTTATTCCAGGAACCAGACAGTTAATTTATCTCTGTTGGCAGTGTGCTGTGCTGGGATACACTGGAAGCAGAGAAAGCACTGATAGCTTAAGGTTCAGTACATATGTTTACTGAGTAAATCTGCATGGCTATTGGAAGTTTTGAGATCTTACATCTAAAGAAGCTGAGCTGTGGCTGAACCCTCCTCCCCTTTGCTGCCCTTTCTCTGTGGAGTCTGCAGAAGCAAAGCTGCTCAGCTCTGCACAGGCACAGGGGAAGGTTTGCCAACAACGACAGGGTGCAGAGAAGACAGGGTACAAAATTTTAATGGGCCACTCTTTAATGTAGTAAAGCATTTTTTTGGTAATGAAAACAAAACATGAATTTTGAGGCTCCACTTTGTGGAGTGCCCTGAGCTGTATTTCTTCACCAGCAAAATTACTGCTGGGGAAAGAAACTCACAGAGTGTTGAAAGACTTAACTGCCACCCCAAAAACAGAGTGATGAATAGTTTAAGGATTTATTTGACATTTTAGGGGGTTGCTATGTTCCAAGAACCAACTTCATTGCAGCATGTTGTAATGCTGCATGAGGAAAGTGCTCCCACTTCTCCCATCTCACCAGTTTAAACCATACCTGGAAAAGTCCTTTGGAAAATGCAATGCTGAGAGAGCACTAAATGAACTCAAATGGCAGCTTCAAATGGACAGCTCCTGACAGGATTCCTCACCATGTGTGAAGCTATGGAAAAGAGCACAGTGACCTCCACGCTCTGCAGCGGGACCTGCAGCTCACCGGGGGTGGGTCTTTGGTGGCCAGAACAAAACTCCTCACACAGGAGCAGAGAAGCAAAATGCATCCAGGCTGTCAGAGAGCTGCCAAGTCAGCAAGAGCAGGGGGACAGAGGGGCTTTGCACTGTACAGACTTGCTGATGATCAGTCAGAAATAGGGTACCAGCCTGGCTGGCAGCCTCAGGAAGCCACTCCCTCCAGTGACCCAACATGCACCGTGAGTTAAAACCACGGGGAGTTGCTGCAGCTCAGACTGGGCAGTAGTCACCCTGAAAAGGTTGTTTTTATGAGTGGTCATGGCAACCAGTACTGTACTGGTGGACTGATTAGTTAATGGCATTTTCAGGAGGCGCTTATGGCACACAAGAATGGTACCTGCAGTGATGCTTGTGAAGAGGCAGGAGGCACAGGGAAAGGGAGACAAGGCAAAAGGAGCTGCACTGGGATCCTACAGCAAAGGGCGAGTCTGAACAATGAACACTTCTTCAGCATTCCCACCTTTTTGCAAGAGATGCTTCACTTTCTAATTTACAAACACTTGTATAATGTGTGTCAAATATTTCATTCCCATACGGGGAGGTGACTGAGCCAGGATCGACTCCAGCACTCGCAAGCCTGAGGATGCCAAGTGCGTCTTTCCACTGCCTCCACCAGCCATGCTCACACCACCTGCCCAGTGCACAGATTCTCCCAGTCACCTCTTCCTCCTGCTCAGCTGCTCCTGCCCTCCCAGCAATGTGCTCTTCCCACCTGCCTGGTCACTGCTCTGCAGTGCTGCCCACCCCAGCCCCCAAAGGGTCCCTGTCCCCAGCCACCGCTGCCACAGAGCCACCACGGGGCTGTGTCCAGCCTGGCACCTCAGCCCTGGCTGGAGCACTTCTCTGCCTCTCCCAAGAGCTGGAACACAACCTGTTGATCCCATTCCTGCTGCTTCTTTGTGCTTCTGCTGTTTCTGCTAAAGGCTTTTACATTTTCAATAATGTTTCACCAAAACGCCGAGGGGTGAGTTTCTAGCTTTGTACCAATTTTACTATGATATTAAGATCTTCTTTTATTAGATTAAAAACAAACAACAAAGACAGCCAACCCACAAGGACAAGAGTGCCAGTAAATTCTTTCCTTCATTTCTTGGGCAAGGAAAGAAGCCCTGTGCTGCCTGCAAATACCTACAGAAGGCTGCTGCCCACCCCCCTTCATCCTGGTGACCAATTTTCCTGCTGCAGGCTGGAGAGGCAGGAGCACAGAGGGGGCCTGCAGGGCAGCGAGTCCAGCCCCCACAGCAGAGCTCACAACTCCTTCATCACCTCTCCCAACTCCATTTCAGAAGCAGACAGGGATTTTGGCACCTCCCAGAGCACCTTTGGTCTTCCCAAAGATCATCACTGAGCACAGCTGTGAGTCTGCACATCATAAAGAGCTGTTGAGGAGTTTCATGGCACTTTGGGACAGAAATGTTTTTGGGGTGGGGCAGTTTGCTCTCTGGCCAGTTTAGCCATTTTCTTGACACCTTTATTTTGAACAGAAAATAGAAGTTCTTTCCTAATAAATCTGGTTCCAGATGTCTTAAAGAGAGTACCCAGCAAAGTGGGACCTGTGGGGCAACCAGCAACTGGGGCAGTGGCACCATGAGGCCCTAAGGCCGCCAGGTCCCTCTGCTGTGGGTCACTGTGGTCCTGCTGTCCCCTGTGCACTGCCCTGGCCAGCGCAGTGACACAGCGTAAGTAGAACTCTCTATCACAATATTGCACTAAAAGTATTAATTTAAGTAATTACACGATTAATATTTAACTGTTCAGTGATATTTTTGTCATTCATAATTTAGTTGTTTACATTTATTAAAAATTGATTTTGTAGACACTTTTTCTGCCCAATGTCAAATCAGCAGGGAGCACACATTTCAGTGAACCATCATTAAAATGTGTCTCTTTCCTAATTTTATGGGAGGGCAGGGGAAGAAGGGAGAAATGCCTGTCAGTGGGTCCTGTAAACATGTGGGGGGTCTGTGCTGCACCTGGTGTCCTCCCTGCTGAACCTGTCCCCTCCGTGTGCCCTCCTGTCCTCGGTGCAAACAGCGGAACCAACATGAGCTCTGCAGATCTCCCTGTGCTTTACGGGGGCTGCCAGCTGTACTTGGCTTTTGGGCCTGCCTGTGGAGCTGGAGAAGGATGAGTAGGCTGTGGGAAATGCCACAGAGAGGGAGAAGAGGGTTGTTTAGAGGTGGGACACCGAGCATGACCTGAAACTGTCCTGCAGGACAGGCAAGCAAAGCGTCTATGGTGGATGAGCAGAGTCCAGTCATTGCTGCTGAGCACAAACAGTGCTGCTTATCTCTCAAATATTTGCTCAAGGTGGGTAGCATAGATACTGTCATCTGCTTGGAAGAGAAAAAATGCCATGAATTGGAGCAGAGGTGCTTGACAGGCCTCACACTGTGTCTGGCACTGCTGCTTGCCTAGCTGCATCAGGAGCCTGCTCCTTGTCCCGTCTCAAGGCAGACACTGCTGGGAAGGCTCTGTGGAAAATCTCC